CTAGGAATTCAAATTTTGGATTTTATTGTACCTTTTTGGTTGCTAGATAGGATATTTTATTTTATATTTTAGGTTGAGTTATCTAGGGTTGAGTCTAAATTTTAGAAATAGGATTTCACCTTAAAGAGTCGCGATTTTTTATTTTCATTGTCTTACATGGAGTAAGAAAGTTGACAAAAGAAGTTATGAAAGGTTATCATGTTGTTCAGTATCTTACACTATGACATGATTATTGTATTGCTCCCATGTTCTGCTCTTACTTTGTTAACCATGATAATAAAAAAGACCATGATTGGAGTGTATTGTTGATAAATTTTTTTTGTATCAGATCGATAATCGTGAAAGCGGACCACCATTCAGTAATTCTCTAGCTGAGTAAGTCTGTTTCTATTTGATATATATCTAAAGTTTTGTATCTTTATTATCTTAAACTTCATTCTACTGCCTGATTATGAAAAAGATCGATTGTGTCATGAACAAATAATATAGCTATTAAAAAAACTGTTGGAGCAGTTAGGCGCAGGATAGAATGCGATTCCTCTTTCTAACTTGTGCCTTCTGCTGAGATCTAAATGGCAAAGAAAAAGAAGATTAGCGGGAAAAAATTACTTTCAATCGGTCTTCGAGCTTCGAATCCAAGTTCGTCTTCTCCTGCTGATCATTTTGATGATAGTTTTGTTGAGTTTGATGAAGTTTTGGTTCCAATTGAAATGGGATCAACTGGTCTTAAGGGTGAGAAGAAGAAGAAGTCTATGAGTGAAATTCTTGAAGCTTCTACTCCATTGAATGATCCTCCAAGATCTGGCTTCAAACCTCTGCTTCTTTCTCAAAGTGATCTTTCCTGGGCGGAGGAAGTTGATCTGGAGAATTCTCTAAGTTCTTTACAGAGAAAAGGTTTAGGTGATTCTCTTTTGAAATCTAATTTGATTTCTGATCAAATTAATGTTTCTTTGGTATCTGATGATAAGATTAGCAGCGATAACTCTCTCTTGAATACTGTTTTTTCTGATCCTACTAATGATTCTTTGACTAAGAAGAAGGCCTCTGATATGTCTAAAATTGAGCATAATGATTCTTTGATTTCTGCTATTAAGGAGACAATTTCTGCTAAGCCTAATGATGATCCTATCCCTAGAAATCTTGTTTCTGCATCTGATGAAAAGATTCAGGACATAAACAAGAAAAGCTGGGTGAATCTATTTGCTGACAATAGAAAGTCTGGAAGTGGATTAAGCTTGGATTTCTTGCCACCTGACACTAAGGATGCTGTGATTTTTGATGATGATGAATGGAAGGAAGGGTGCTCTATTTGGGAATGTTCTCTTGTTGGCCAAGTTTTAGTGCTGAATGTTAGATTCAAGGCTATGGAGAGTTTTATTCAAAAGGTTTGGATAAATAAAGCTATGCCTGAAATCTGTTTACTCAAGGCTGGTTTATTCCTATTCAAATTTAGGAATAAAGATGATATGAATGATATTCTAGCCAGTGGTCCTTGGTTTTTTGGATCTAGACCTTTCTTGCTCAAGCCTTGGAACAATGGAGATGAAGTTGATAAGGTTAATTCATGTACCTATCCTATGTGGATACAACTTCCTGCACTTAGGCTCAATCTATGGAATGCAAAATGTATAAGTAAAATCTCCAGCCTTATTGGTAGGCCTATCACTACTGATAAACTTACTGCAAATAGACAAAGACTAGCCTATGCTAGAGTCTTAATTGAAGTTGATTTGCCTGCCACCCTCCCTGATAAGATAAAAATCCAAGGTTTAAATGGCAAACATTATCAACAGAGGGTGATTTATGAAATGAAACCAAGATGGTGTGATCAGTGTAAACAAGTGGGACATGATGCTTTGCATTGTTGGAGGAAAGATAAAACACAAAAATGGATTCCTAAGCTGAAAAATGACATGCCTGGAAATAATTCCAAGATGGTTCTGGGGGAAAATGCTGTGCAGGCTAATACTCAAGGAATTGGTGTTAACCTGGATAAAGGTAAATCTATAATGATTACCCCTGGGGATGAAGCTCTGCAATCTGGACAACATGCACAAGTTGTACATGTTCCTGATACAGGGAATTTTGCTCCTCTAGCTGGAAATTCTGGTGAGACATCTGTTGCTGAACCTGTGCATGTTGTGCACGTTCCAGATTCAGGAAATTCTCAATCATACTGGGAGGTAAATACATCACAAACTAAAAACACCTGGGTAAGCATATCTGGAAGAGAGTAAGCTACTCAGGCTGGTAACATCAATCATGCACATTTATCTAAGCCTGGTATCTTGCAAGCTAAAAGTCCCTGGATAGTTCAAAGTAACATAAACAAGATTAACTTTGAAAATTCTTTCTCCCCTCTGATAAGTGGTATTAATCCCTCTTCAGTGGACAGAGGGGGCTTGCTCAAATGAACTTATCATTTTGGAATGTAAGGGGTTTGAATAAACCCCTTAAACAGAAGCTGGTGAAGCAGTATATATCTCAATATCATCTTTCCTTCCTTGCCTTGCTTGAAACAAAATTAAAGGAGAGTAATATACCTGATATTTCAAAGAAGCTTGTTGATCATTGGCAGTGGCATGCTAATGGGAGTAATACTGAAAAGGTAAGAATTTTTCTCTTATGGGATCCCAATGGTCTAGACATTAATATTGTACACTGCTCCCCTCAACATATAACTTGTTATGGTAAGTCCATTGATGGGAGATTGGATTGCTTCATAACTTCAGTTTATGGATACAATCAAGCTGAAGCTAGGAAAAGTCTTTGGTTGAGTTTAAGCCAGGTATGTAAAAACCTTGGCCAAGTTCCTTGGATTCTCTGTGGGGACTTCAATGCACTGATTAGTAATGATGAAAAGTTGGGAGGAGCTGCTCTATCTGATGCTGATTTTTTAGACTTTAAGTCCTTTATTGATAGCTGCCACCTCTCTCATATGAAAACCATGGGTTCTTTCTTCACCTGGAGTAACAAGCAAGACCCAAGCACAAGAATTTGGAGTAGATTGGACAGAGCTCTTATCAATGAAGCTTGGTTACTCAGGTATAATTCTAGCCATGCTGAATTCTTAATTCCTAGATTCTCTGACCACTCTCCTGCTCTTATCTCAATCTATGAGGATAATTCTCAAGGAAAGAAGCCTTTTAAGTTCTTTAAGATGTGGACCAAACATCCTAGCTTTCTTCCTATAGTTTCTTCTATCTGGCAAACCTCTATTCAAGGTCATGCTATGTATTCAATCTGTTCTAAGCTCAAGCTGCTGAAGAATGCTTAGAAGGAGCTCAACAAGAAACATTACTATAACATTAGTGAGCAGGTTTCAAGGGTAAGGAAACCATTAGAGAATATCCAAAGGGCTTTATAGCAGGATCCTTTAAATGCTGCTCTCATTGAACAAGAAAAGAAATGTTTGATTTCTTTTAACAATCTCTCTGAATGTGAATTATCATACTACAAGCAGAAAGCTAGAATTGCATGGAATATTCAAGGGGATAGATGCACTAAGCTTTTTCACTCTATCATTAAATCAAACAGACATCACAACAGAGTTTTAGTGTTACATGATGAATCAGATGCTAGAATCACTGACACTGAGGCAATTGCTAAGGAACTGATTTCCTATTATAAAAACTTGTTGGGGACTGCAATCATTACTGACACTCCTGATAGAGATATCATCAAAAATGGTCGTTGTTTAAATAGCCAGCATGCCAGAACTCTTTCTGCTCATGTTTCCAGGGATGAAATCAAAAGTGCTGTTTTCTCTATGTCAGATAACAAGGCCCCTGGCCCTGATGGTTTTAGTGCTTCTTTCTTTAAAACAGCTTGGCCAATCATTGGAGATGAGGTATCATATGCCATTGAGGAATTTTTTAAAACAGGAAAGCTATTGGGTGAAATCAACTCTACATCTATTACTAATGTTCCTAAGGTCCAATGTCCAACTTACTCATCAGATTTCAGGCCTATATCCTGCTACAATTGCATATATAAGGTCATCTCTAAAATCCTTGCAAACAGGATCCAATCTATTATGGGATATATTATAAATGATGCTCAGTATGCATTTGTGAAAGGAAGACTGATATCAAATAACATCCTCCTGGCTCATGAACTTGTAAAGAACTATGGTAGGAGGCATATATCTCCAAGGATTATGATTAACATGGATATCAGAAAGGCCTTTGACACCATTAGCTGGAAATTTATAGCTGAAATGCTCTCTGGTCTGGGGTTTCCAAATATGATGACTAGTTGGATTATGTCCTGTATTTCTTCTCCCAGATACTCTATCTCTCTAAATGGCTCTCTACATGGCTATTTTAAAGGGGAAAGGGGGTTGCGACAAGGTGATCCACTATCCCCTTACCTGTTCATTTTGGGTATGGAATACCTATCTAGGAGCCTTGATCTTTTGAAACTTGACAGGAATTTTAAATTTCATCCTAAATGTGGCAAACTAAAAATTACTCATCTCATCTTTGCTGATGACTTATTGCTGTTTAGCAAAGGGGATTTGTACTCAGTGCAAAAGCTTGAGCAATGTATTTCTCACTTCAGTTCAGTAACTGGTCTGGATGCTAACCCCAGCAAAAGTGCTATTTTTTATGGTGGTGTTGATGATTCTATCAAGGCTTCTATACAGAATTGTCTAGGCTTTTCTGAAGGCAACCTCCCAATTAAATATTTGGGAGTACCTCTTGTATGCAAGAGGCTATCCTTTGATGACCGTAGACCTCTCTTTAACAAGATATCCAGTCAGTTCTAAAATTGGTTATCTCATAGGCACCTATCCTATGCGGGGAGACTCCAGATTATCAAAAGTGTCATCCTTGGGGTTCAACTATTTTGGACTTCAAGTTATATCCTACCAAAGAAAGTTCTTCATGGAATTTATAAACTGTGTAGAGATTTTCTATGGGGAAAAGTTGACTCTAACAAGCCTTCCCTTGTCTCTTGGGATGCAATCTGTCGAAGTAAGGATCAAGGAGGTTTAGGAATCTTTTCAGCAGTTACATGGAACACTGCATCTGCCCTTAAGATCATTTGGTTTATTCATTCAAACAAGGAGCTCCTTTCAGTTACATGGAACACTGCATCTGCCCTTAAGATCATTTGGTTTATTCATTCAAACAAGGAGCTCCTTTGGATTAAGTGGATTCATGGCACTTATCTAAAACACATGAATATTTGGCAAGTTGAGGCTAAATTTGGGGACTCATGGATGTGGAAACAAATCCTGAAAATTAGAGAAAATGTGTTGAATCTTTGTGGTGGAGTTACAAGGCTTCTACATCTTATCAGCTCTTGTATAAAGAGTTCTAAGTTGAAAATCTCAGCACTATATCATGCCTTACTTCCTATTACAGCTAAAGTAATGTGGAGGGATACTGTTTGGGAAGGATTAAGTTTTCCTAAGCATAGTTTTGTGTTGTGGCTAGCCATCCTTGACAGATTACTTACACAAGATAAGCTTCTAATCAGGGGGGTTGTCAACCGCAATTGTTGCATCCTGTGTTTTGTAGATACCATCGAATCTAGAAATCACCTATTTTTTGCTTGTTGCTTCTCAAGTAAAGTTTGGAATGGTATTATGGATTGGCTTAGGTTCAATTGGAGGTCATGTGACTGGAATTTGCTCCTGGATTGGTATAATATCAGGTTGAGAGGAAGTGGTTTCAAAAATAAAATCAAGAGAATGGCTTTGGCGGCAACTGTTTACAGTATTTGGAGGGAAAGAAATGCAAGAATATTCACACAAGTTTGCAAGGATGTGGATCGTCTGATTAGGGAAATCAAAATTGATATCCTGTCCATCATCCTTAATAGCAAACTCCTGAATGAGCATAAGGAACTGGTGTTAACACTATGAACTGCAGTGGAAAAGGTTCCTGTTTTTGTTGAGGATTTGTTTTGATGTGGAGGCTTTCATCTAAGGTGGGAATAAGGAGTACAAGATGTGTTTTGGCTCAAGTTTTCTCAGCTGCAGCTTCTGTGAATAACAATGTCTGGTTGTGCACGTTTTTACAGTCTGGTAAAATCTGTGCATGTTTTCTCCACAGTTGTTTTTTTTTCACTGGGGGGTTCTTGTTTTTTTTTTCACGTGGGGTTTTTTTTTTTTTGTTGAGGTAATTTCTTTGAGGAGCTTTGCTGAAAAAAGTTTCAGCTGTTTTTTTGTTATCTCACATATGTGAGGATATTCTTGATGTACAAACTTTTACATATTGGTGATGAATAAAACTTTCATTTACCAAAAAAAAAAAAGAGTTCCCACAAAAATGATTTATAAAAAAGTTATATTAACATGAAATAAAAATTAAAACCGAAAATGAAGGAGTAGGTGCAAATGGGCTAAAGGAGTTAATTTAGGAGAATAAGGGGCTGAACCTATCACTAAAGAAAAAGAAAGGCCAAGCATGAAGTTAACGATGAACCTTATCTCGAAAAGATTAATTGTCCCCAGTCTTGAAAGCAATTCTCGTTATGAGGTGAAGGGTTAATAGTTTCTAGCCTTGAAAGCAAATTTTTATCATCTGTTTCAATTGCTTTCAGGTGAACCAGTCTCTTGGGGATAAAGTTGCTCACACTCCTCATCCAATCAAAAGCCCAAAAGTAGGGGACTGAAAATACCAGTGTTCTAACTTTCCAAAATGTAGCAATAGTGATATTTTGGAAAAGTTTGATATCCATCAACACAGACCTATGTCACAAAGTCCTTTCACTACAACAAAACTTTTTAAAGTTGATGTGAGGCTAGAGTGCTATAATTTAACATGCTGTAAGATATTGAGCATTCTTTTCATAGAAAGATATTTGGATTAAAGCAACAATAAAAATTCTTAAATCCTCTTTAAATGAATGTCCAATGGGATTTGAATCTAGATCACTCTGATATCATCTTAAAGTATTTTCCATTATAAATGTGGTAAACATTGAGTATTATAACTTTATATAGAAAATATATGTTAGAAGACCTAATGAATTCTATTTAAAGACGAAATAATTGTTGCAAGTTGCCTCTTTCTCTCCCTTCCTTTGTTACTTGTTAGCAACACAACGTAATAAGGGCACAGATTGACAAAAGAAAGAACAACTAAAACTAGAAGAACAACTAGAGAAACACAAGGATTTCATGTGGTTCGGTGATCAACATGATTAGCTACATTCTCCAAGTACAACAAGGTCAAGATTCTACTAATAATCAACATACATGCAGTCAATCTTGCAAGCCATAATTCGCCTCCCTCTGTTGTTCTAATTTTCTCTCTTTGATTTTCGAAGCAACAAGAGGCTGAAATGCATATTGTATTCCTGCACTAGGGTGGTTGTTTATATGGGGTTCAATTTTGAGATGGACTGTCATTTTTTCTCCGTGTAAAAACAGGTTCCAAACACAAATACCCTTCTCTAAAACAACATATTCTGCAACAAAAGACAAGATCCAAATATGGATTACAACTCATGATCCGTACAACCAGGCAACTTGAAAACTTCTAAGCAACCGTTCTGCCTTAGCTAAATTCCTAATCATTAGGTATAACCTATCAAGCATCAACTTGTGAACACCAAAAGAATAAAAATAAAAAACTAAATAAAAAAAATCAAGTATTAACAAACTCAGCCTCAGTGCACCGCACGCATGAGCCATTTCCCAATTCAGATCCCAACGGGTCCGGGCCAGACTCCACCCACCTCAGACCCGACCCGAAGGTGGAAAAAATAAATAAATAAATAGATGATGAGATCGAGTCAAACAAGAATACATCTTGAATGAATCCGTTCGGAAAAAACCCCATCGCCCGCCACTGAAGCCAGCTGGTGCCTCTCACTCACCTCACGGGATTCCTCTTCTCCGCTCTCACTATAAATACACCCCGCTGCCTTCACATAAATCTTCACTACTCAAAAAAATAACAATTAACAACACTGGCAATATGAGCTCTTCTCTTATGTCTCAATGCGTTCATATTTTCTTAGCAGCTACTTTTGTAGCAATGTCTGGTGTTCATGGAGGAAACTTTTATCGTGATTTCGATCTTACTTGGGGAGACGGACGAGCTAAGATTCTGAATAATGGACAGATGCTCACGCTGTCGCTTGACAAAGTATCGGGCTCTGGGTTTCAATCGAAGAATCAGTATTTGTTCGGGAAGATTGATATGCAGCTTAAGCTTGTACCGGGGAACTCCGCTGGCACTGTTACTGCCTACTATGTGAGTTTCTTTATGATGAAAAAAAAAGGGATTTTGTGGGTTTATCCATTATTGACAACTTAATTGGTAGCTTTTCAAGTGGTTGGATTTCACTATATATACATAGAACTTTCTCACATCCATGATGTTAACCTGAAATTTGTCATATGTGGTCCTCCTTGTAATTACCACACATATCCACCTTTTAAAGAAGTTCATACATAATAGATATTTCTTTAAAAAAAATAGAATATCCTAATGAAACGAAGATCAAATACTCTAATTAGGGTTGGTCAAAATACTTCAAAAAAAAAGAGATCAGGCCTATCTTCTACCTAAGAATTTGAGAACTTGAAAGGCTAATTAATTTTATTACTTGTGCTAATCTAAAACATTAAGTCGTTAAATATAGACTCTGATTTTTCTATTTAATTTCATTACTCTTTCTAACTCTTTTCGGATATGGGACTATACCACAGTTATCATCTCAAGGACCAACTCACGATGAGATCGACTTCGAATTCCTCGGCAACCTCAGTGGCGACCCATACATCCTACACACCAACATATTCACTCAAGGCAAAGGGAACAGAGAGCAACAGTTCTACCTCTGGTTTGATCCCACAAAGGATTTCCACACTTACTCTATCCTATGGAACCCCCAACATATCATGTAACATATCCTATTAATCCTTAATTATCCCATTAACACAACCATCACATTAACCACTCACATTTTTAATCTTGCGTTTCTTAATTCAGATTCTCTGTCGATGGTATTCCTATAAGAGATTTCAAGAACTTAGAGAAGTACCGCATCCCTTTTCCTAAAATCCAGCCAATGAGGTTATATTCTAGTCTATGGGACGCTGATAATTGGGCAACAAGAGGGGGATTAGTGAAGACTGACTGGAGCAAAGCGCCATTTACAGCGAGTTACAGGAATTTTCAGGCCCAGGCTTGTGTTTTGAGCTCTGGGAGGTCGAGATGTGGGTCGGGAGGAAATCGTTGGTTTAATCAGCAACTGGATGTGGCTAGTTTAAAGAGACTGAGATGGGTGCAGAAGAATTATATGATTTATAATTACTGTACTGATGTCAAGAGGTTTCCTCAGGGGATACCGACTGAATGCAAGCATCCTTGAAGATATTGGATTTTGGAATTGTGTATTGCAAATTGAATTAGTTTGTTATTGTATTGCTTTATTTTTTTAGGGAAGTAGGTATTATTGTATTGTATTAGCCTATTATTGTATTGTTGTGTGAGATATGTAGATGTAAATAAGTATATGTAGTATGGATATGTGTACGTAACTCGCTTGGTGTATGAATGCAATCCAATAAGTTGCTTTATTATCCTTATTATATTATATGGGTCATTTTGGTCTAGCATGTTTTGGAAAAATAAAATATTTATCTTTGTAGCTATGAGGAAGTGCTGAAACCAATGGGTTTTACTGCCCTTTCAATTCAGGATAACGACCTAGCGGTTGGGCCACGCAGGGTAAACTAATTCAACTATATTCTTATATTGAGTAGAATTTTCTTGATGCAGTTACACGACTAGCAGGATCTAGTGGTTTCAATCCGGATGTTATGCGCAGTAAATTTTTCGTAGTTGCTATTAAAGTTCCAACAGTTAGCCTCACAAACTCAGGAAGCTGTCAACCTATCAGTAGTAATCACAGTGATTAAGGGTTTAGTTTGTATATAAAATTATAAAAGAAAGTTCCAAAATCTAGCTGCTATAACAATTCAACTACAGGTTTAAATATAATTTGTTGGCTCATTAACTTTCATAAATGATAACGTATGTAACTAAATAATAACAAAATTATATGCATATAAGCTATCGCATTAGGCTTAAACCATCAATTTGATTCACGAGGTAAGATTTTCCAAATAGTCATGATTACTAACTCAACATTTACATGAGGTTGCATTAGGCGTAAACCAATTTGATTCAGAATTTGAGATTTTTCAAAAGGTCATGATTACGAATTCCTGTAAAGAAGAAATGAATCTATATTATCAATAGAGTATCAATATCCAAAAAAAAAAATATCGCCTTGATGTTACAATAAGCTGCATATCGGGGCAACAAATTACTTAGTTTAAACATTTATAAACATTTAGCTTCTCCCAAAAAAAAAGGAGTAACAAGACTAACACAAGCGGGGTGCACAGAGATTCAAAGAGAATTCATACTGGCATGAACCGGTAGCTGAGAGAACTTACTATGCGTGGCACTTTGAGAGCTTACCTATTGGAATTGCATGTGTGCAAAGCCTTTATCATATGAAATGGTTAATTAGTGAGAATAGATTATTTCACTTAAATTAGCTTGGACATCTCCACTGTGTAATATTTGTACTTAAGTGGTTAGTCATCCTTCAAATCTAGTCAGAATAATAACCTTTCGGTCTTGAAGCAAGGTTCTGTTGGAGCCAGGCATGCTATAGAGATTCTCCTTGAGTTGCTTCTGCAATTCTTTTATGAATTAGCAGGTTGAAGCTTCTGAGGTTCTTTTCTTTTTCCATAATCCTGTGAAATAAATTCCTTTGAGCATTACCTGATTTAGTACTTAATTTTCACTGCTTGTTTATTTATTTATTTATTTATTTTACTTCATTTGTAATTTGAGTCTATGTCTGATTCCTAAACTTCCATAGGTTAACTATAATTGAACATTTTACTTTCATACTTTTTGATATTTCATGATTCTTCTAATCATTATTTTCAGGGGAAGGAGAAGCTTGGAAGGTGGAAAAGATGTTCAAACAATTCATCACTCTGAATTAACCATTTACTTTTTTTTGAATAATATATCCCAATTTGTTGTGGAGTATATAGCTTCTGACAACAATTATGGGGTCAAATTTGTCCTATTAATAAAAATTCTATGCTTTGATTACTGATAAATTTGCAAGCAAATGCAGAAGTTTTCACATTTAAGCTTCCACACTAAAAAGCAAGTCTTGCACAATTGGAGATTGGCAGTTTGGAGACAGACTTGTATGATGAAGCTTTGTCATAATGAAGAAAATGTCGAATACTTCTGTGTGATATACATTTATTTGTATTTGTTGTGTATCAATTTTTATGCTATATTCTGTTCATGTTGGTGTGTCTTAATTTATCAAAGTTTTTAAGCCTCCATTTATTATTGCGTGTCGTAATTAATGCAAGTATTTGGTTTGCATATGGATGTAGACAATTTGAGATGCTACAAGAATTATAATGTTCATTTTTGTCTCGAGTCCTAGCTAGTCGTAGCAGTTTTTCTCTCTTTCTTAATTTTTTTTGGGTGTGTAGAGACGTCTCCAACACGGTGATCCATGAGGATGACAAACGGACCAAATGCCGATAGCATGACAGCTATATCTTGCGAAGTCTTCTTGATATATATTTTTTTTTCAATGATAGGCGGATCCATCTTAACCAAACTGGGTCGCACGAACCCACTTTGGACAAGGAAGAGTAAGATCTCTTAAACTTGGGGCTACTCAAATAAACCCCCTTAACTTTTTAACATGTCACGGAACTCACTCTTAAAATTTGAGATTCTCAAATAATCTCATTCAACTTTTAGTGTTTTTAGAAAACCCCCCTAAAACTATGAACCTCAATTTCACTAGCAAAATATCTCCCTATGTAATTATATCCATCCATGTGAATATTTGTAGTTGACACCATTTTGGGGTGTTTTTTGTGAAAGATGATGAACGTTGAACGGGGCTTTCTATGAACCCCAAAACTTCAGGATGGTTTGTGTATTTTGAAAGTTAAGGTGGGCTATCCAAGATACACCCAAAGGGGGTTTTCTAAAATTTATCCATTGAAAAATGGGAAAAATGTTTTAAGGCCCCCCAAAAAAGATCCGGTTGTGGCCCAGACCCAGCAATTAATTCCCTTAGCATTTAGCCCCATAAAATAGTGAAAATTGTGGCCCAGCCCTAAAAGCCCATTCATATACATGTATTGGGTGTATTTTGACCAACATACCTAAATTACCCTCATCTCTCTCACAGGAAAACCGGCTGAATGGATTCCTCCTTTGGCGGCGACCGCTCCCATCGCATTTAAAGCGAAGCGACGGAGGAAAGCGGGGGAAAAAAGCGCGCGCTCCCTCCATTACTGTGCTGCTTCATCAGCCTTTATTATAAATCGGTCAGTTCTAGCTCTCACTCTCTCATTAATGAAATTAGGGTTTGTTCTTCAACTGTCAAGCATGTTTATGCGCCTGAAATCCCCTCAATTACTCCTCACCTCCTCATAACTGTCCTCATAACTCTCAACCACCCAATGGCTGCCGATGACTTGATTTGCATGGTGTCTTTAGGCGAGAATGCCATATTTATGAAGCTAAGGTCGACATCAAGCTTTTATGAACTGAAATATGGTGTGGCTGAAAGATTGAAAGTACCTGAAGAATCTTTTTCCTTGATATATAAATCTGAGAGGCACCCCAACCTGAGTTTTTCAGTTGAGAACGAAGATGACCTGAAGTGCATGTTGGAGCACAATCGAAATATTGGTTGTACGGAGATTCATATGTAGGCTGCTGTTAATGTAGAGTGTTCCATGCCAGGGAAGAATCAGAAAGTTATTAGCGAAATGTAAGTAATTAATAAACTCTTTATAACATTGTGCTTAGTGTGATGTAAACACTGTTATCTTTTGGTCAACTTTCAATCACCCCTCTGGGCTTTAAATCCCCTGAATGTAATCGTATAACTGTCGTCATAAATTTGAACAACCCCCAACGGGTTCTAAAGAGTTGATGAGCATGGTGCCCTCAGGCGATAATGCTATATTCTGCATGATTTGAAGTGCACGTTGGAACGCAAGTAAATAACTAGAATTGTTCTGATTAAAATGCAAGATGTTGATGCCAAGTAGTGTCCTACTCCTGAGGAAAAAACAGAAAGTTATTACTGATTTGTAAGTAATAGAATGAACTCTGTTTGAAACTGGGATATGTGGGATGTTGAAATTGTGATTTTAGTTTTCGATGCTACTTTGGGGAAAAATAGTTGTCATCGCTGATGGGTACATTTTAACCCTTCAGCTTACAGGTTAATTATCTAAGATATATGTTAACTATTATATGAATATGTTAACTCTCATTGGAACATGTTATACTTTTCTTGAACATGTTAACTTTCGTCTTTCGGTGTTAACCATGTCCATTGTCTGTTAAATTCCACTGCTCTATGTTAAGTTTTACTCAAAATGGTTAATTTTACACCCAGTTAGTTAACTTTTGGTGTGCTGTGTTAACCATGCATATTGTTAACTTTCATCATAGTGCTGTTAACTTAAGTTATAAGAAGATTATTTAACATAGTGTGCAGGATATCTCACTGTTTGATTAAATTGTGCAACAGGGATGCCTCTTTGAATGCAGATTATAGTTGTCCTCCTCCAGGAAATGCATCCAATTCAGAGAGAATCCATATAGTTGTCCTCCTCCAGGAAATGCATCCAATTCAGAGAGAATCCAAACTGATTTTCCGTCTGGTGAGACTATAATGAGGGCTGATGATATTCTCAATAACACTTCAAGCATTCCTCAATGGTGGCACACAGCATTAACTGAAAAGGGGCAACAATTTAAAACCGTAACTGAATTGAGACTAGCTTTGCAATACTATTCCATGGCCAAAAAATTTGAATATGAATTTCTAAAGAATGAACCCAAACGTATCCGCGTTTGTTGTCGATATAAGGAGACGTATGGATGCCCTTATATGCTCTTTGCAGCTCCTGTTAAAAATGATAAAAGAATGGAAATCAAAAGGTTTGTGAATGAACACAGTTGCGGACAACATTCTAACTTGTCAGGGCAATCACGGGCATCTCGCAAGTTCATAGCAGCCCAATTACGACCGGTATTAAAGGCACGACCTGAAATCCGCCCAATTGATGTGCAAAAGGACTTCCTCACTCGATTTGGATTGAGACTTGAATACAGTAAGATATGGTGGGGCAAAGAAAGAGCAATCAGCCAAATTGCGACCGGTATTAAAGGCATGACCTGAAATCCGCCCAATTGATGTACAAAAGGACTTCCTCACTCGATTTGGATTGAGACTTGAATACAGTAAGATATGGTGGCGCAAAGAAAGAGCGCAACAGGATATGTATGGTGATAGCTATGAGGCTTATGATCAATTAAGATGGTAAATATTACAGTTAATTTATAACTTGTGTGCAAATGTTTATCGTAGCCGCTTTAATGTTAATATGTTACCCTTATGTTCCAATGTATTATATTTATTTACATGTCCAAAAGCGACATTGTTGTACAGGTATGAGCAAATGGTGAAGCAAACGAATCCAGGAAGCTACATTTGCATTGACCAGAATGAAGGAAGGTTCAGAAGACTGTTTATATGTTATGCTGCTTGCATCCAGGGTTTCTTAAATGGGTGTAGACCCCTTTTATTTTTGGATGGGACCTTTTTGAAAGACAGATATAAAGGCATGCTTCTGAGCGCCATAGCCTATGACGGAGACCAAGGGATATTTCCACTTGCGTATTGTATATGTGATCAAGAAAATGTTGATAATTGGAGATGGTTCCTACAAGGCCTGTGGTCCATACTGTATGAAAGGTTGGACCCGTACAATCCCCCCCACCAATTGGTAATTATTTCTGATGCCGACAAGGGGATTCGAGAAGCCGTGAGAGAATATTTCCCTGAAGCAATTCACTCACGCTGCGTTCTGCATCTAGTTGAAAATTTTAGATCAAAGCTCAAGGATTTGGGAATGAAGGCAAAGGACACACAGGTTTTGGGGAATTTGCTCCAAACTGCTTGCTATAAATACACTATAGCGGAATGGAATGACTACATGAAGGAAATTTATGAGATGGCTCCAGTCGCATATGAGATTGCAATTAAGTACTCGCCAGAGCATTGGGCAAATGCCTTCTTCCCTGGCATTAGGTATGCATTCAATCATTATGACGTTTTGCGGTTGATGTTAACTGTTATGCATATATGTGAAGTATCCTTTTTATAGGTTAACCTTCGCTGATATATGTTAACTTTCACCAATATATGTTAACTATGATGTTTTTATGTTAGCCTTTAGCAGTATAGGTTAAGTTTTATGGTCACTTGTTAAGAAGATAACATATTATATGTCCATCATACTTCCTATATGTTGTCCTTTGCAGATATGGCCATGTAACCTCTAATGTCGCAGAATCCTTTAACAGCTGGATACGTGAAGCCCGTTTGTTATGTATCCTGCAAATGGTGGAGCATATCCGAAAACAACTTATGACTCGCATGAACAACAGACGGATAATGGCGTGTAAGTGGACAAGCTATCTTTATCCTAAAACTGAGCAGATTGTTAGAGAAAATATGGAAAAAGGGCGCACTTTAGAGATTAGGCAATCTAGAGAGGATACTTGTGTCCATGCTTGTGCAGCCATTATTTATATGAAAAGAGATGTATATCAATATTGTGATTGGTTCATGTCCGTAGAAGCGTTTAAGAAGAGCTACGACGAAATATTATATCCCATACCAGACTATGAGAAGCGGAGTGTGCCCAAGGATGAAATCCAGATTTTGCCACCACTTACCACTAAGAGGAGGGGAAGAAATAGAACAAGACGCATAAACAACAGAACCATATACAAACGGCCCGTCAAATGTTCTCGGTGCAAAGTTGAAGGTCACAATAGAGCAACCTGCAATGAGCCCATCCGTGACTAGTGTGTTTCAGCTTCTAACAACAATACTTTTGTATGAGACATATAGATGGTTTTAAAGTTGTTAAGTATATAGCGTTGTACTTTTGTAATCTGTGATAATGCCTGTTAGATTCATTTTTTTCATGCTGTTAATAGAAACTGGAAGCATGAGAGACGTTTTCAGATCTTTACCTGTCATGTCAAGGTTTTGAGTTTAAATGGGTGACTTCTCCAACATATTAGTCACTGTTCTAACGGCTAGCAACCAGTCATTTCAACCAGCCATATTCCAACGGCTAGTAAGTTGTTCCTTATGCAATATAAAATGTGCACATAGGAAAGTTATAAGCTTAATAGAAGTTCTAACTTTCCCTTCATTCCCTCTTGAGATTGCGAGATGAAAACGTCAGAGGGTGTTCAGTCATGGGAAGAGGTATGTTGTTTTTGTAACATTCCAACACCCATGAAGCAGTGCAAAAATGGGAGGAACAAGGGTAGATTCTTCTGGGGATGTGCAAATTTCCCAAAGAGCCAATGCAAGTTTTTCGCTTGGGCTCACAGTGAAGATGCAATGGTAAGTAGGAATATTCCAGATTGCCCAGAAGTCCCCGTTGAAGATGATATGGCGGTCAAGGCAAAGCAGTTGAAGAAAGCACTGAAGCAAGCAAACCGCGAAGTTGAAAAATGGAAACTTTGTTCATTCTTCCTGTGTTGTTTTTGTATGGTTCTAATATCCATCATCTTTGTCATCTCTAACTGAATTTGGTCAAGTATCACGTGTATACGTTAACGTTTACTATAAATGGTTAAGTTTCAGAGCTATATGTTAACTCTAACTGATAGTGGTCAAGTTTTAGAGCTACATGTTAACTATTACTGATAGTGGTTAAGTTTCAGAGCTACGGGTTAACTTTTATTGAAAGTGGTTAACTTTCAGCGCTATATGTTATCTTTCATACTTATATGGCAGCCACCTCAAGTTTTGTGTCGGAACATCAGTGACATATACTATCATCCCTTATAGCCCTGTTCCAGTGAATCAAAATGTCGGATCGTCAACGGAGAGTAAATTCGATGTAAGCATTCGAAGGAGGCACTCCATCGCCACTGTGAAGAACCCAGTTTTAAACAAAGGGGAGAATCAAATTCATTCTCCTCTCTTTTGTAATCGGAATCCAAATTGTAATCGATTTTGAGAGAATACAAATCAATTTTTCTTTCATTTCTTTTACATCGAATTTTTTCCACAAACAACTATCATCCCTTATAGCCCTGTTATGTATTACATTTCAAACATTTTAGCAGCAAAGATTCCGCTGTCAACCAGTTAAACAACCAGTTTCTTACATCTCCTCGTCCAACCTACCCACCAGTTAAATAAAAAGTTTTTATACCACATAACATCTTAACTAGCAACCAGTTACACAACCTTTCTCTAGTTATACATCTAAATTAATATGCCTGTTAGTTTTGCTCCCACAACAATCTACACAATACATAACTTTTCCTAACATCATTCACCCATCCTTTTCTAGCCCATCCACGTAATTTTTTTTCTGTTCCCATCCTTCAATTAGGAGTTCAGCTGCAAGCTTGGCACGGATGACGTCGGCCTCGTCAGCGGGATTAGTTACCTGACTGGTATCAGTCCCTTGTATTATAGCCGTTATATATAAAGGAACGAAAAGCCCACAATCAAACCTACATCATATACATTGGAAAGATAGTTAGATATTTGATGCTGAATAAAATGAAAATGTTTAAGTGTGTGAAACACTAACATTCCACGCTGTTGCTCACAAGGGACGGTTTCATATCGGAATTTCTTCGAAACATTATTGGGATCAAAACCAGCCTTCATGTGATCCATGAAATCAATTGCTTTATTTACTAGCTCCAGGTATGCACTGTGGCCTGCAGAGCTGTAATGCTTGATAACATCCTCGTCCAACCTTACTTCAACAACATGCCAGTGGTCATGCCGCACAAGCGGGATAAGGAGTACTGATTTATTTACGGCGACATGCTTTTGTATGAACAAGGTGTATAAATGTGCATAATCTGGGTTCACTGCATAAATGCTATGCTGTATTGCCAAGCAAATAATGATAAGCCATTTGTAAACAAGAGTTAAAAAAACATTGGGAGTTTGAAGCTAATGCTTACGCAGAAAAATGCTGACACGACCCCATATTTCATGCCAACAGAACCAATTTCTGGCCTCTCTAGCCATGTGCTGAGCCTATCTACAAGAGCTTTCATGACCTGTTAACAGAAGATGCAAATTAGATTGCATAACATCTCAACATGCAGTAAATCCAAGTATTGCGTAAAAGATTAACATATTGAGAGTAGCATATTGAACTTGCATGGTCATCGATACGCCCGCCACGTAGAAGATAAAGAAGCTAGATTGAATCAATGCTGTTGTTCAATGTCTTAACAATAATACGTGACCTGAAACATAACAATAAGATCCAAATTTTAACATAAACCAGGCTATATGTTAACTGGATTTGCAAATATAAACATGATTTGGCAAACGTTGGCACAAATAGGTATAAGTTAACATAAACCTATAATCATTAACATGTAACTATGAAAGTTAACATAAACCTATAATCATTAACATGTAACTATGAAAGTTAACATAAACCTATAATCATTAACATGTAACTATGAAAGTTAACATAAACCTATAATCATTAACATGTAACTATGAAAGTTAACATAAACCTATAATCATTAACATGTAACTATGAAAGTTAACATAAACCTATAATCATTAACATGTAACTATGAAAGTTAACATAAACCTATAATCATTAACATGTAACTATGAAAGTTAACATAAACCTATAATCATTAACATGTAACTATGAAAGTTAACATAAACCTATAATCATTAACATGTAACTATGAAAGTTAATGCCTCCTTCTCTTCCTCTTTCATCTCCATCTCTTGCTCTTCCTCTTTCTTCTCATCTTCTCTCTCTTCCTCTTTCTTCTCATCTTCTCTCTCTTCCTCTTTCTTATCCTCCTCTCTATGCATAGCTTTCTCCACATACGCAACCTCCATTTCTTGACATTCACCTTTCTCTGCCTCCTTCTCTGTTTGCGCAACAGCCTCGGTAATATGAGAAGCTTCCTTGCCAATGTTCGTTACATCGTCATAATCAAAACAAATTCCATCATCACCCATATCATCCCTATCATTAGAATCAAAACTCTTTCTTCTTTTCCTCAGTGCATACCCTTTATGCCTATAATTTTGTGACATAAGTTCCCTCACATTTTTCTTCAGGTCTTCGGGGTCAATCAAGTCTTCGATCCCTTCATAGCGCTCCAATTTCTTGTTCAACCTATGTATCTCCTGGGAGCAAGCATCCCATTGAAGGCGCTTGCTACGCTTGACAGCGTGGAGCAATTTCCAATTTATATTGGTCGTATTCCTCCAAAAATGAATTTGCTCTACAGGTGCCAACTTATCTATTTCATCTTCTCTTGAAAAAGCATCAGCGATATGCTGGGACAAAATCTGAAAAGTAAACCATATACCCTTTACCCATGTAAATCCACAAGATTAAGCAGAATAGTTATGAAAACCCATAAAAGAAAGTTAACATGAAACAATGCAAATTGAAAATGAATTAATGATAATGATAAAATATTTAACTCAATGTAAATATGATGTGATGTGTAAAGAGTCATTGCCGCTTACGTAACCCACAGATGAGCTCTTTGATCTGCCCATCACCTTCTCTTGCTTCCCAGCCTTCTGCTTTTCTTCCTCGTTCATCTTTCTCGGCCTAGTTAACTTTTTGGTCTGCCCATTACTCCTTTTCTTCTCTTGCTTCTCGGACGTTGGGCTTTTATTTTTCCCAAAGTGAGTGAATTCAATCTTCTTCCTGCTGGGCTCCCTTTGAGGGTATTTTTCACCCCATCCAATGCTAAGTGAAATTGGTTTCTCCTCAAGTTTTATGCTTGCTTTCTTGACCTTAGAGATTAATGCTAACTTTTACTTTTATATGTCAAACTTCATGTTAACATGTTGATTTTAACATGTTAACCTATTAACGTCCAATGTTGTACATGTTTTCTAATGCCTGTTACCATGACTCCTATTAACTAGATCAAATGTAACATACAGGGATGAGCGGCATGCATTCAGGTTCGTATGTAACCCCTGGCTTCCTCATCCCTTGAACAGCAATTTGAATGCCTCTCTTCGTCTCATCAAAAATAAATTTACCCCACGCAATGGTCTTCACTCTCTCGATACTATCTACATATTGAAACAATTGTCTTGGGATGCCTTGAGAGCTGTTGGGGCACCAAATCGTTGCACATTGGTACAATATCTGAAGCAACACAAAATCCTCAATGTCCTTATTATCAGAGGACTCAACAAGTGTTTCCAGCAACTCCTCGACATATCTCATCATGCTACCAGCTTCTGGTGTAGCCTTGGCCTTTGCCTTTGCCTTTGGCTTGGCCTTTAGCATTTCTTTCTTATCTTCAAAGTATTGCCTCCAAAGTCGGTTGTGAGAGTCTCTATTCCCGTAGATCAGCTCCCCATCAATGGGAAAGCCTGTGTGAGTATGCACCCACTCTTCATCAAATTTCACTGAAAATATAGAACCGCTCTTGGGGTTGGGAAAAGAGAACTCATCAGTTTCGCCAGTATAATGGCTGAGCACATACTCTAGTGCCCGTCGATCGCGTGCTGGGGGACCAAAGAACACATAGTGCTCAAAGTTACAGCCCTTGTAGGTATCCCAATGCCACTTCGTCAGTTTTGGTTACAGTTTTTGCATGAAGGAACAATACGTTCCAAGACAGGCACTGGGCCTAATATCACCTAATGCAGCAACTATCCTGGATGAACAACAATTTACTCTTAACAAGTCGTTCAACTTTAAATTACGTAACAATCAACAGTAAAGACATTAACATAGTCAAAATCACGTTTTATTAACATGATTAGCTAAAAGTTGACTCTTAAGAGTAAACGTTAACAAC